TAGTTGGAACAGGAGATGAATTCAAGAAACAAAGATGTCTTCCGTCATTCCGTGCAAGACATTGAATCTGGTCGTGCACTGCGTTGGCGGGGTGGGGGGTGGGGGTAGGGGGGGTGGGTAGAAGAAAACAGGAGACATAAAAACACAGGAAATGGGGACTATGAAAAAAGGAGCTAATGATATAAAATAAATAATTGAGAAAGTGGGGCCCACTATGTTTTTCTATGCCCACATTTACCGGTCAAACTGGCCTACCAAAGCTAAATTAGTTGTTTTTGGGTTTTCAAGTTTGAATGCACCAAACATTTGTTGAATTCTTGAATTTGAACCTTGGAATATTCATTTAGTTTTATTTATGATTAAATACAAATTGCATCTCTTTACTATCACTAATGTCGTATATATACGGTTATGTACTATAAAATATGAATATTTGGCCATGTTAAAGAATTCGGCATTTTTTAAAGTTGACCGATCATAAATACCTCTTTTTTTTTCTCTTGTACTAATTTACTTCCACTTTTTTTTTTTCATGTATTTTTCCTAATTTTATGTTCTACGACCTCAAAATTTCACCTAACTTTTCTTAAAAAAAATTAAATTCTAAAAATTTATAAAATTTTGCAATTTAATTTTGTTCCCAGCCTAAAATATCAACTAAAATTTATGAATTTTTTTATTCTTGATAATATTTTGATTTTTTTTTTTAATTTCTGAAATCTATAATTTTATTTTCAACCCAATGATTCACGATTTAAAATTCTTACCGTTACTCTGATTCTATAAAATTATGGATTTCAATTTTTTACGTCGAAATACTACATGACATATGTTTCTAGAACCACTTGTCTATGCAACCAAAGTATTATGTAATAAAGTAAAAAAAAATAAATTGGCCAACTAATATAGTAAAAAACAATGCCTATGTATATCATATAAATGTACGGGTAAAATGGTAACTACGCTATAGAAATTAACGGTGTTGGATATTTGATGGTTGACCATTAAATTGAGGGGTCACTTTATCGCATTTTATAGTACATGGTATATATGCGACACTGGTGATAGATAATACCTGGGGCGGATTTAGGGGGTGACCATGTATGCCATGGACCACCTTAGACCCTAAAAAAATGTTTAGTGTAGTGGTAAAGATGTCTTGATATGTTTGAAAGGTTATGTGTTATTTGATCCTTGCGCGATTCACAAAATACTAATTTTTAATTTTATTTCATCCCCTCTCCCACGGTTTAATTTTTTCAGCCTCTCTTTCCTTTTTCCTTTTTTTGCCTCAATTAATTTTTTTCAACCACTCTCCGTTTTTTTTACCTAATTTTTTTTTCCAGCCCCTCTTCCTTAAGACGCATAAAATTTTAATTCATATATTTTGCTTCAATTAATTTTATTTTTCAACCCTCTCCCTTTTTTTTGCCCCAATTACTTTTTTTCAGCTCCTCTCCCAAAAATGTAGAAAATGTTAAATTTTTTATTTTGCCTCAATTAATGTTGTTTGAAGCCTTCTCCCCAAAAAGGCGTCTCTCTCAAATCAGAACCCTGAATCTCTTTATGTCAAGCCATGAGTAAGAAGAAAATATATTTATAATTGGACTAGAAATAAATTTTCAATTTAAGTTGTAATTGAAACATTGCTATATTCTTACGATTTAATACTCGAATATTTAATTATTATTTTTTCTATGCGGCATATCCTGGATTCTCATCTTGAATCCGCCACTAATAGTACATGATGCAATTTGTATAAAACCCCTTTTATCTAATAAAAAATGATTTTTTCTTCTTCTTGATGCATGTAAAATTCAAATAAATGTTAAAAATGCAATCCCCTAATCACCACTTAGTTAGGTAAGACTACCGTTTATCATTTATCATAAAATAAATTAGTGGTAGAAAAGAAGAATACTTTAGCCTTAAACTCAGACCAATAATCTATTTATCACCAATTGTTCTCATTGGGAATGAAACCCATGATCTTGATTATAATATTTAATTTCATCAAATTTTGATCCTTAAATTAATGTGATTAATAGTTGTATATAAAATATTGGAATAAAAAAGAAAAAAAATAATAATCCAAAAAAACTTTGCAATGAAACATATATGAAGTGATCCGTGACATCGAGGCAAAAACTCTCAAATATAGTAGGGCATGCGGGTATAGTAAGTAAAACCCACATGTGGAATTTGGCTAACTTCACGACGATACTTTGTAATTTTGAAAGCTATGTTTCGGTGAAATTTCGAGTTTATTCACTTGCCGCTACGATTTTACGAGATTTTAACGTTCAAATGTGGAATACATGGGCCAGGGAGTTGGTTTTTTGACGAAGTAATCAAACTGCTACTTTTTCGACCTCCCCTTATACGCTCTAATAAAATAGTACCTACATATTCTCTTCTATGCCCATCAATTCAATGACATTCTTAGTAGACACAATCTCATACGAGCAGTGGCGGATCCACTATGGTTCTAGGGTGTGCAACTGCACACCCTTGATTTCAAAAAAAAAAAATATTCCTTATATATTTTATGCTTCATATTTATTTCGATGTGTATCTTCGATTCCATGTTGTCCTAGCTTGAATGGTAAAGCATCCAAGTATATCTTTGGGAGGTACAGAGTTCAAAACTAACATAGTGCATTGTACA